TATCCTAGCAGAATGCAGAAGGGTACAATGAGTCTGCAATGCCACATCACATGTATCTTTAGGTCTGATGTTAAATAAACCTGAGAGTAAATATCAAGTGAAGAAAGAATATTACCTATAAACTCAATGTTCTAGAATCTGTGCTCTTTATTTCATTCAATTAATTTCTGATATGAATTTGCTTTGTAACACTATAACACAATACATTTCCTCAAGCTTTGAAATGCACTGCGTGTTTAAGTCTGTATTTTAAAAATTTAACAAATAATATTAGGTGTCTTCTAGATGCAAGCTCTCCCAAAGGACCTGCATGGTATCACAGGATAAGTGGTTCTCTCTGTAGTCAGAGATGAGGACACAGTTGACATGTAGATTCTCATGAGGGTTCCCCGGGTGCGTCATGCTGTGAGGAGCTGCACAGCTGCCACATTGAAAGGCAGGGAATCAGTACAACTGCACAGTCCATGTATATGAATTTAAGGAAGTTATACAGCAAGGTCCCTATGAAAGGACAGAAAACAAAAGGCATGTCATGAGGTCATGGTGGAGAAGGGGATTCAAAGGATAAACTTCGGGTCTCCTATTCCTCACTCCCCCGGGAGATTGTGTCAACCTCAAGATACTGTGGTCTTGGACCTTGCACAAGGGACTACAGAGGAGTCCAGGGTGGCCGCATTCGTGAATAACTAGTGAGTGAAAACAGAGGAGGAAAAAGGAGGCGAGTACTTTCTACTTAGGTCCTTAACAATTATGATCCAGTGGGCCGCTGAGATGTTATGTAACCCCACTCTAGTCAGGGCAGTAAGCATAGGTGATTCCAGGGCAGATGTCCCTATTCCTAAATACCTTTCACGTAAAGTATCTCCAGCCTTCCCTTATGGCTTCTTACCCCTCTCTTGCCGTCTGTATAAAGTCCTGCATTATTATCTCCAGTAAGGAAGAGTACTTGAAGGTTCCTACTAACATGTAAAGAAGTCGACCCACATGGAGTCACAGATTAGCATCCGTTCAGATCTGGTACATAGGTGGTTTATTGATTAGTGAGGTCCTCATACCATCTAGCGAGAAGAGGACACAAGGAAGGGTCACTACCTTTGGAATGGGAAGCAGGATATTTCACTCAGGCTCAGAGTAGCCAGGAGAATAAAGGACCTGACACTCAGGGGATGGGTGATATGTTAGGAGAAGGGACAGAGGGGATCCTTAATGGGATGTGTCTCCCCAGAACCTCACTTGGGCCTGGCTCTTCCACGGTGATGTAGTTTCCAGGGAAACAGTCCAGCAGGGCCAGGGAAAGGCAAACAAGCCATATTTAACTTTGTATCTGAGTCAGTCACCTGTAGGGATTTCTTACCTCTTTGATTTTAAATTTCTTTTGGTTCTGTTTGTCTCATGTTCTTTTGTGATGGAATAGCCATGTGGGACCTGAGCAACTTGGCCTTGAAATGGCCCCTGCTCATCTTTGATTCCACTGTGAGGAGAAGTTATGAGGCAAAGTAAAACGTGAGAGAATTGTCCTTACATTGGCTTCTTTTTAAGAAATATATTTGGTGTATCCTAAGGGAAAAGAAAAAATTTGAGCTTCATGTCTATAGCTAGATGCAGTCTTTTCAAGTTATGATTTGCCATATATTATTTGGTCCTTTTACGGTAAAACAAAAAATTGTAATGTAAATATTGTATTTTTAAAAATTTCCCTATTAAAGTTAACAGAATAAGAATGAACTAATTATTTAACTGAAGTTGCTAAGTGCTGGCATTGTGCTTGGCACATCCCTGCTAGATCTTAGGAAATGCAGAATTTTAGAAGTATCTAAGTTGATATTGCTTAGAGATATAAACATATAATCATTTTATTACAACTGTGATTTAAAAATATTAACCTTTGCCTGATTTTAAATGCCAGTTATTTTTCTGCTTTGTTATATATGTAATTCTTAAAGTTACTTATTTATAAATCAAATGCTAAAATTTATAATTTACTATCTGTATTTTCAGACCCCTGACTCTTCATTAACTTCTTGATTCATAAACAATGGACCAAAAGTCCCAGTTGATAGATGCAAACTCTTCTGCTGGATTTATGGACTCTAACCAAGAGCCCTACTGTAAATCATTGTCGAGTTTACAAATGTACCTATTAGTTAGTGCTTTAGCTGTCTGATTTGAAAACACCTGCTCTCTTTACTGTCCAATTCTGATTTATCTTTTTAATATACAGCAAGTTCTTATAATTTGTTACTACCAAGTACTGATTTATAAGGATGCTGTAATAAATTGTGTAACATAAATTGTAAAGGCTTTGGATTAGGTACACAAGATTTTTGAAAGCTTTATGGCTGAAAAACAATTCTTAGAAGCCAGAAGTAAATTTTATGTCAATATCCTACAAAACAAACATGGCATACTCGACTTAAGAATGTTTGTATTTTCTTCCTATATTGTCTCCCCATTCCCTGCATTAAGACTTTCCTTTTCATAAAAGTCTGTACCATTGTTGGCTGGACCTAAGCAGACATGCAAAGGCAGACAAGTATTAGTGTTTAACCTGGACAGATTGATGCAATTACTGTGTACTAAGTCCCTTGCTGAATTTTGGGGAGCCTGAATGGTTTTATCTTGGTTCTCTCTTCCATCTGCCCTTTTTCTTCTGCTGGGGACATACTGACACATATTTGGATTTAAATCCCTGCTTGGGGAGCTCAGAGCACTTGTTGAGCAGCCTTTTAATTACATATCTGTAAAGTAATTTATTGTTTCCCTGGCTGAGGGCTGAGGGATTTATGTTTATCAGTTTTATGCTCTTGCCTACCGATGACTGGACTACTGGCCAGTCAGGGAGAATCACTCTACAGAGGATTAGGGCAAGGACTTAGGGCATTGAGTAAAATTACCATTTTAGAATAATATCCTTGAAGGTGTTATGTAAAGTAAGGGGAAATGGATAATTTTCCTCATTATTATATCAAATTTAGCAGATCTGTGTGGTTCACTTTGTTCCTTAAATTCATGTAGTTCATGTTTGCATTTTTCTCCCTCTCGGGGTGGTATATATTGTTGCATGGTGACATTTACTGCAAAGGTTTTATCTTACCAAATTGCTGAGAGCTGCCTAAAGCAGGCAATTACAGGCATAGATTTTTTTTGAATGAATGAACAAATAGTACACAGAAGTTATTATCCTGTAGTCTCCACACAGCCCTGAAGTTTATAGAAATCTAAGAGATTTGGGCCAGGGAAAAATGGCGGATGGAAAATTTACCATTTGGCAGTTGAGATTGATCATAAAGCATTTTTTAACAAAACTTCGTTAACAACACAAATTTTAGAACAAAGTAATTCTTTTTTTTGTTGTTTTGTTTTAAAACAGATCTGTTTTGGAGGTATCCCTGAGCCAGGCATTGGGATTGGAGTTGGGTACGTGGAGGAACTAAGACAATGTTCTAGAATATCAAAACATGGTCTGTGTCCTCAAGAACAAGTCAAGGTAGTAAGGCCAGTGATATGGTTTGGCTGTGTCCCCACCAAAATCTCATCTTGTAGCTCCCATAATTCCCATGTGTGGTGGGAGGAACCCAGTGGGAGATGGTTGAATCATGGGGGCGGGCCTTTCCCCTGCCGTTCTTGTAATGGTGAGTGAGTCTCACAAGGTCTGATGGTTTTTAAAACGGGAGTTTCCCTGCACAAGCTCTCTTTCTGCCTGCTCCCATCCATGTAAGACATCACTTGCTCCTCCTTGCCTTCCGCCATTACTGTGAGGCCTCCCCATCCATGTGGAGCTGTAAGTGCATTAAACCTCTTTTTCTTTTTTTTAATTTTGATTATTATGGATACATAACAGTTGTGTATATTTATGAGGTACATGTGAAATTTTGATACAAGCATACAATGTTTCATTATCAAGTCAGGGTAACTGGGGTATTCATTGCCTCAAATATTCATAATTTCTTTGTGTTAGAAACTTTCCAATTACCCTTTTTTTTTTTTAAATTATACTTTAAGTTCTGGGGTACATGTGCAGAAAGTGCAGTTTTGTTAAACCTCTTTTTCTTCCCAGTCTCGGGTATGTCTTTATCAGCAGCGTGAAAACAGACTAATACAGTGAGATTCAAACCCAAAGTAGTAAATAAACAACATAAGATTTTTCACTGGATTCTCCAGGGCTTGAGCTAGGCTTCCTTGCTGAGTAGGTTGATGAGTCACTGCAAGTCATATCAAGTTTTTAGAGCCCTTAGTTCATCCACTTTAAACAGGGAGGATTTGATTAACAAACATTCATTGAGTATCTTTTATTTTGCAGGCACTGTAGAAACTATTAGGGATTGAGTGATCAATCATCCATAGTCCAACTTCACAGAACCAAAGTCCAGAAGAGAAGGCAGAAATTTCTATAACTAATAAAGTTACATATATGTTACAAAAGCCTGAACATATACTGCAGAAGAGGAGAAAAACACCTAAGGCTCCTTTTAACCCTTTGCTACTAGTGATTTTATGATAGATGTTTATAAATCCATAAGTGAAAAACATTATACACATAATATGACTTGTTTTATATATTCCACACACAAAAAATGACCTTTAGTGCATAGTAATCTCCTTCCCATTGAGACAATACTTTTGTACAGTCGTATTATTGAACTATGTAGTTGCTGCATAGAAGTAGTGGTTTCAAACAGAAGAGTGAAAAGTAAAATTGAATAAAAGTTGAAATGAAAATAAAACAATTATATAGGAAGAATTATATTTTTTATATGTATATTTTTACATGTAAAAGGAATGGCAATGGTATGCATCACTACTATATAAATTTGATTTTATCATGATGGACAAGAACACTGCTAGCATGGATGTTACATTTTGAAATATAAATGAATTTGGTGGAGTAACCATGCCCTCCCCCCGCTTTTTTTTTTTTGAGATGCAGTCTCACTCTGTTGCCAGGTTGGAGTGCAGTAGCACCATCTCGGCTCACTGCAACCTCTGCGTAGCAGGTTCAAGTGATTCTCCTGCCTCAGCCTCCCAAGTAGCTGGGATTACAGGTGAGCGCCACCACTCTCAGCTAATTTTGTGTTTTGTATTTTAGTAGAGATGGGGTTTCAGCATGTTGGCCAGGATAGAAATATCTCTTGACCTTGTGATCCGCCCATCTTGGTCTCCCAGAGTGCTGGGATTACAGGCATGAGCAACTGTACCTGGCTGTTTTATATATATATATATACACACACATATATATATTTGCATATATATATACACACACACACACACATATATAGGATTTTAGGTGGATAATAGGACCATACAGTGAGGTCTCTAAAGAGTATTAACTGACTAAAATGGGTTTCCCTATCAAGCAAGTCTTGTCATTGAAGATTGGGCATGTAGTGACACTTGTGGGCTTCACAGACCTCTCTTGTAGCTGCGTTCCCTCCTTCTATATGGAAAGGTTTGCGATTGCCTTGTCTTTCTGATATTGCCTGACACAATATTCCTCAGTGCCTTGGGGTTGTAGCTGAACTGGATTTATTCCCTTAAGCTTGAGTATGTTCCAAATTTGCCCACGGCTTTGCTATGACCACCACAGGCTTAAACTAATTATAACATTTAAGAACATAACTCAGGTCCTCTTCCTTCCACGAGAGCAAATTTAGGAACCAAATATTTTTCCCAATGACAGCTTAATTGAGGTAAAAAACACGTTTTTTTTTTTTTTTCACCTTGAAAATAGGAAACTTCTAAGTAAAAATGAAAGAAAATGGATTTATACCCAAAGTTTTCTTTCTGGACCAGCCTTTAATTAAGGCCACAATTACACATGGGCATTTTAAGTACTCATTTCCTTCATATCAAAAAAATTATAATTTTACCTTTATTCTGCATTCATTGCATTCATTTGACATGAGATCTTTGAACAAAATCATGCAAATGTAAACATCAAAATATAATTACCAAAATGATAAAAAATTCAGCAGGTGGATAACCTTTTTGAAGAAGAGAAACAATCATAGCTAATAAAGCTGCCAAGTAGATATGAGAAATTCACTGCTTTCTGCAAATCTAAGAAGAGAATGGGTAGTTTTAATTATTCATTACACTGATGCTCAGGGAAAAATAAATTAAAAGGCTCTTATTTTATGAGAATTTAATTCAATTTATATGCTGTCCTTCTCTACTACCTTTCCCATGAGGCTTGTTGAACTATAGATCTTTGTGAAAAATAGCTTTCTCCCTTCCATTAGTGTTTCTTCCTGCCACAATCATCTCATGTACCCCATGACTGCGGTAGTGACATCAGACTTATTTTAATTCACAGCCATGTTTCTACTAATGAAAAGCAAGATAGGCTTGAAAACAATGATGTCCACCTTCAGATAAGATGCTAGTGGCACAGACATATATGCTTGGGCATTTTAAGTACTCATTTCCTTCATATAAAAATTTATAATTTTACCTTTATTCTGCATTCAATGCATTCACTTGACATGAGATCTTTGAACAAAATCATGCAAATGTAAACATCAAAATATAATTACCAAAATATAAATACCAAAATTAGCCATATATGGCAAAACTACCACATATACTTGGGTTTGGATATGTCTCGTTCAACGTTTTAAAAAGTGAGTTGAGTGAATTCATGAAAATGATATATGTTTATTAAATGTGTGGATGATACAGAAATGGAAAAGTCAGTTAATACGATAGATGATAGAATCAAGTGTCAAAAAGATATTGAAAAATTGCAAATTAGGAAAGTAATGTATTTATATGTACCTTGAGTCTCACCCTTATCTGACTTAGATGATACTTAGATACGACTTTGGACTTTAGAGTTGATACTAGAATGAGTTAAGACTTTTGAGTCCGTTGGGATGGAATAAATATATTTTACATGTGAGAAAGACATCAATTTCAGGGGGCTGGGGGGTGGAATGCAATGGTCTGAATGTTTGTATACCCCAAGAATGTATATGTTGAAATTTTAACCCCCATTGAAATGTTATTAGGAGGTGAGACCTTTGGAAATTAATTAGTTGGTGGGAGTACAGCCCTCATAAATGTATTAATGCCTTATAAAAGGGACCACAGAAAACTCTTCCTATTTTCCCAATGTGATGTTAGAAAGAGAAGATGACAGTCTGCAACTCAGAAGAAGGCCCTCACCAGAACTTGACCATGCCGTCACCCTGATCATGAACTTCCAGCCTCCAAAACTGTGAGAAATAAATTTCTGTTGCTTAAGCCCTCCAGTTTAAGGTAATTTGTTACAGCAGCTCAAACTGACTGAGACGTTAATTTAGGTTAAAAAATCAATTATATCTATAAAGAGATTGGAGAAACCTAGGTAAGTGATAGATTATGTTAAAACAGTAACAACAACAATAATAACAACAGCAGCACAAAATTAACCAGAAGTTTTAGTTGACTTCAAGTTCAATATAAATCTCTAGTTTCAAGTCCACTGCCATAAAACTTAATTTTGGAAAATGTGATGAAGCTATATAGCACAGTTGCCTTTGGGGGATGTAAAACACGTTCTAGAAATGCTCCAGTAGGAGGTTCTTACATTCCTTTTGATGTATGGGCTCATGGATTGCACATACCTTTCTTTGTGTCAGGGAAAGCCAACATTGAATACAACAATATAAGAAATTAGCAATGGAAGCTGTGATTACATTTTTCTTTTCCACAGCTCATTTATTGAAATGTCTGACTTTACTCATCTGAAATTGAAACTAGTAACAGACAGCTTCCTGGGCTTGTGTAGGCACAAATTTGAGAGTGAGGACAAAATTGCATTAAAACCCAAAGTTCTATTCAATGTTAATTTTAAGTAATGTCTTTCCATAGGTATATTCTTATTTGGAGGCATGTAAGCATGTTAGCTCACATAGAAAAATAGGATTTGGACACTCATGTACTGTTGGGGGGAACATAAGTTGACACAGGAGACTTGTATACAGCTTTCAAATTTGTAAGTAAAAATGTTTAATCAAGTAGTTCCATTTCTCTTTGTCTCCCCTGTAGAAATACTCATATATGCACAAAGATATATGTATAAAAACTGTTTTTCCAGCAGTTTTGTAATAGTAAGACATTGGAAAAAATGTAAAAGTGTATTAACAGAGAAATGGCTCAGAATTTGTAGTAAATTATGGAATATAAATACTATGAGATACTATGTAGTGGCAAAAAAAAGAATGAGGTATACTGGCAAGGAAAGATATCCATCAAAAAAGCATGTCAAAAATATATAAAAATCGATCAAATGCATGTAAAAATCAACCTTCGTGAATGTGAAGAGTGCACAAATATATGTGTATATGTACATAGACACACACGTACATATGTAAGATCAGTATCCACAGATCTCTCACATTTGTTATGGACTGTCTTTTCAAGGATGTCTGTATGGCAAACAGCCTCGGAAGATAGAACTAGTGTCTCTCTTTGGGATAGGAGGCAGAGGGCAGATTTGTTTGCTGTCCAGGATAACAATATTTTATCCTAAGAGCAAATATTGGGCAGGTTCTCCAGAAGTCCCCTTCAAAAGATGGTAGTTTCCTTAAGCCAGGATTCCTCATGGACACAGGTGTTACTTTTTGCTGCCTCTGTGAATATGTGTGTGGGGAGGGTGTACCAATTAATTTTTCCATCTGAGGTGATAAAGGGTAAATCCAGAAATACTAGCAGTATCATGAACAACCACTGATTTGAATTTACCTCTGCGCATCCAGAGGGCAGAGCTAGAGGCAATCATTGAGGAGAAGTTACAAAGGAAAAGGAGGCAGAATTTGCATCAATAAAAGGAGAAATTTCCAAATACTTAAAGAAACGACCTCACACGTGATAAAATGGCTATTATAAAAAAGATGAAGCATAACAAGTGTTGATGAGGATGTGTAGAAAAGTGAATCCTTATGTACTGTTGCTGGGAATGTACATTGATACATCCACTATGGAAAACACTATGTTGGATCTCCAAAAAGTTAAAACTAGAACTACCATAAGTTGTGCAATTCCACTTCTGGTTGTATGTCTCAAAGAAATGAAATGAGTATGTGGAAGAGATATCTGCACTCCCATGTTCACTGCAGCAATATTCAGAATAGACAGGATATGGGATCAATTGAAGTGTCCATAAATGGATAAATGGATATAGAAAATATGATATATATACACATACACACATACACAATGGAATAGTATTTAGCCTTATAAAAGAAGGAAATCTTGTCATTTGAGACAACCTGGATGAACCTCGAAGGCATGTTTATTAAGTGAAAAAAGCCAGACACAGAAAGACAAATACTGTATTTTTGTATTTTCTCCATATAGCAATAGATATTAGTAAAATTCAGATTGTAAAATGGAGGAAGGAAGAAAAATGTAAATGATTATCTGTGAAAACAGCACATCTTAAAATGTATTTTGTTAGGTGTCAGTGCTTTACAGACAAAATTGCAACTAAATATATGTCAGAGGAGCCTGAAAAGACAAATATCAAGCAAATCTCAAGCATGTTTCAAAACGGTTTTGCCACAATCATAGCAGTCTAATGTGCATCGTATTAAAAATACCTTAATTCATCTCCCTTCTACAACTTTCCATCCTTCCCTTTTCACATGTAAAAGGCAGCCATAATTTTTGCATGTTTCTTATAGTAATTTTACTGGAGTTTTCTAACCTTTGCCATGGGTATATTTCTCTTCCTTTGGGGCCTGGTTCTATTTTATAGGAACACCATGCTATCGAAATCTCCAGACAGGGAATGTGGGAGTTGACCTCTCCTCCTCATGCATTGCTAATAGAACTTCCATCCCTTTTGTTAACACTTTGAAAATGCCAAACAGTAGGTTACAACTCTTCCCTCCTGCAGGGCCTTTGTGAAGAAGTCTCACAGATGGTATGAAGAACTCTTGGACAGTGCATGCAGGGCTACGGATTGCAGGAATGTCTTGGAGGCTTTGTGCACTCAGGATGAGGCATGAACCATCAATGAAGAAAGGGATAAAGAAAACAATAATGGAACCCAAACTTGTAGCCTGTATCCTAGAATGCTCATGAGCGAAGCTGTCAAAGAACCATAACCCTGTATTTATGGAGCATGATGTTTAATTGGAACTGAATAAATCATATATTAAATAGATGTATTGAAGAAAAAATAGGACCATAGATACACATGCACACATACATACATGCCACATGCATTACACATAATTTAATTTAATACATGCATGCATTGTTTGTTTTTAGAATTGCTTTTCAAAACACAACATATTCTAGAGAAAGGGTCAGCAAATTTTTTCTAAAAAGGAACAGATAGTATGTGTTTTCTGTTTTCTAGGCCACATCCAATCTCTGTGTCAACTACTCATTTCTATTGTTATAGTACAAAAACAGTCCTAAACAATATGTAAATGAATGTGTGTAGCTGTGTTCCAATAGCACTGCATTTATCAGCGCTGACATTTGAATGTCACATAATTTTAATGTCATATTCTTCCTTTTATTTTGTTCAACCATTTAAAAATGTAAAAGGTTTTCCTTGCTTGCAAGCTATACAAAAACAAGTGATGAGCTGTATTTGGCTCATGGGTGACCTCTGCTTTAAAGGGTCAATATCTATGGGATAAAAGGTTATGATGTCTAAAATTAGAAAGTATGTTAGATTTGAGAATATCTCTTAATACTTAGCATAATTGAGTCACTTTTATGGACATGACTGTTTGAAAGTGCTAAGATAATCACAAGTTAGTTCTGTACTCTCTGTGTTTCCTCTGCAGTTGTTACATAGGAAATTTCCTATCCTCTGAAAGTTATCAGCAAGTTTGACTGTGTTTTTTTGTAAATTATCTTGTACTGGAGAGCCACCATCTCCATTTGAAATTTAATAATGTGTAATGAAAGCAATAACTAAAAATGGGTATCAAATCTAAATTACCAAATGAAGCTAAAAACAAAGAAACTGATATACTGTTCTTACTGTATACATGTCATCACACTCAATCTTTCATTTTTTTATTTAAAATTTTATTTTAGGTTCAGGAGTACATGTGCAGGTTTTTTATACAGGTAAATCTGTGTCACGGGGACTTGTACAGATTATTTCATGACCCAGGTACTAAACCTAGTACCCAACAGTGATTTTTTTTTCTGCTCCTTTCCCTCCTCCCACCCTCTGTCTTCAAATAGGCCCCAGTGTTTGTTCCCCTCTTTGTGTCCATGTGTTGTCATCATTTAGCTCCTACTTATAAGTGAGAACATGTGGATTTGTTTATCTGTTCCTGCATTCGTTTGTTAAGGATAATGGCCTCGAGCTCCATCCATGTTCCTGCAAAGAACACCATCTCATTGCTTTTTATGGTTGCATAGTATTCCATGGTGTATATGTACCACATTTTCTTTATATAATCTGCCATTAATGAGCGCCGAGGTTAATTCCATGTCTTTGCTGTTGAGAATAGTGCAGCAATGAACATATCTGTATATGTGTCTTACGGTAGAAAGGTTTATATACCTTTTGGTATATATCCAGTAATGGGATTGCTAGGTCAAATGTTAGTTCTGTTTTTAACTCTTTAAGGAATCACCACACTGCTTTCTACAATGACTGAACTAATCTACACTCCCACCAACAGTGTAAAAGCCTTCCCTTTTTTCTGCAACCTCACCAGCATCTATTATTTTTTGACTTTTTAATAATAGCCATTCTCACTGGTATGAAATGATATCTCATTGTGTTTTTCATTTGCATTTCTCTAATGATTAGTGATGTTGAACATTTTTATATGCTTGTTGGCCACATGTATGCCTTCTTTTGGAAAATGTTTATGCCCTCTGCCCACTTTTTAATGGGGTTGTTTGTTTTCTTCTTGTAAATGTGTTTGTTCCTTATAGATGCTGGATATTAGACTTTGTCAGATGCATAGTTTGCAAATATTTTCTCCCATTCTGTAGGTTGTCTGTTCACTCTGTTGATAATTTCCTGTGAAGAAACTCTTAAGTTTAAATATATCATATTTGTCAATTTTTGCTTTTGTTTCAATTGCATGTTTGTCATGAAATCTTTGCTGGTTCCTATGTCCAGAATGGTATTACATAGGTTATCTTCCAGGGTTTTTATAGCTTTTGATTTTATATTTAAGTCTTTATCTTGAGTCAGTTTTTGCACATGACATTTCATTTAATTATAGAGCTTCAGCCAAAGTTTTCTTCACCACAATTATTTCATTGCTGATGAAGTCTGATTTCATTGTTTTAATGTCCAAACAAACACTGGTAGAATCTTAAGGTACATATATACATATATATATCACATATAATTGATATATTATGTTAATCTAGCCTCCCTAAATGCAAGAAAGATAAGGGCTTGAAATAAATCAATGGCTGAAAGAGAAAACAAGAAAATGTAAAATAAACTTATAAGTTGTCATACTATATTTATATAAAGTGTTTATGTTCATTCTTCCTATGTTTCTTTCTTCCTTTTTCCCCCGTTTCTTTCTTTCATTTTCCACCATTGTGTTTGTATTAGTTATCCACTGCTTCATAATAAATTGCCACGAGCTTAATGGCTTAAAACAATCTACATGTATTACCTCACAGTTTTTGTGGGTCAAGAGTTCAGGTGCAGCTGAACTGGGTTTTCTGCTCAGGGTCTTACAAAACTGTAATCAAGGCATTAGCTGCCTATAGTCCCCTCTAGAGCTAGGTGTAATCTTCCAAACTCATGTGGTTGTTGGTTTCTTTCTTTGTGGTGCCTTGTGATTGTAGGACTGAGGTTCTTGCTTTCCTGCAGGCTGTTGGACTGGGAGTAGGTGGTCACTCTCAGCTCTTGGAGGTCCCCACAGTTCTTGCTAAATAGTCCTATCACGACATAGCAACTTACTTCGTCAAGGCCAGCAGGAGGCTCTCTCTTGCTCGGATCTGTTAAGAGAAAGTCTTATAAATTGTGACATAATCAGGGGAGTGAGTACTCCATTACTTTTGCCATACTTTATGGCTAGAAGGAAGTCACAGGTTTTAGCTGACCTCAAGAGGAGGGGATTATACAAAGGTATGACTCATTGGGGGTCGCCTTAAGATATGTCCACTACAATACTACTAATATGGATCCAGAATAAATTGACTCAAGTATTAGCCATGTAAGAATAATATTGGGGTATGTTCTTGGAGGGTATTTATCATACTGTTCTAAAATTCAATCTGTAAATATTTCTCAAGAGACATCCAATTAGAATGCAAAATCATTGATCAGGGTTTCTCAGGCTGGAAACTGTTGATATTTTGGCTGAATATTCTTTGTTGTAGGAGTTGGCCTGTGAATTGTAGGGTGTTTTGTAGTGGCACTGGTATAGCCACTGGATGCTAGTAGCACCCCCTCTTCAAGTTGTGACAATAAAAAATGTCTGCAGACATTGTCATATATCCCCCTGGGGTGGAGATTAAATCACCATCAGTTAAGAACCACCACCATAGATAATTTCAGTCTTTAAAATTTAATACTAACCTGAGGCAGTCTTACCATTATTAAACCCTAACATATTCACCTTACAGTGATCCTTTGAGTGTTTTCATGGAATAAGAAAGAAATAAATGATTTGGGAATATATTTTGAAGATTTATGGAAGTGTGGAGGAAAGTGAAATCTAGGGAGGACCTATTTCTGGTCCGGATAACTTTATAAAAGGTGGAACCTTTGTATTAGTCCGTTCTCACACTGCTATAAAGAACTACCTGAGAATGGGTAAGTTATGAAGAAGAGAAGTTTAATTGAGTCGCAGTTCTGCAGGACGTACAGGAAACATGGTTGGGGAGGCCTCAGGAAACTTACAATCATGGCAGAAGGTGAGGGGGAAGCAAGGCATGTCTTCCCATGACTGGAGAAGGAGAAAGAGAGTGACGGAGGAAGGGCTACATGCTTTAAAACAACCAGATCTCGTGAGAACTCTATCACAAGACAACACTAGGGGAATGTTGCTAAACGATTAGAAACCACCTCCATGATCCAATCACCTCCCATCAGTTCACTCCCCCAACATTGGTGATTACGATTCAACATGAGATTTGGGTGAGGACACAAAGCCAAACCATATCAACCATTAACAGAAAAATAGAGTACAGAAAGAGGTGCATGTGTTAGGGATATATAGTGAGAAAGAAAAATAGCATGCTGAGTTTGAGTTTTTTAATGGAACATCCAAGTGGATGTATGAAACAAATAATTGAATATATAACTCTAAAGTTCTGGGGTGAGATTAGAATCAAGGGCCATTGGCAATTAGATGGTAGTTAAAAGGAAGAAAGAGATGAATAAAATTACTCAGGCACAGCACATAGATAAAACAGAGCAATGATTTGGGTAGAGGCCTTGGAATATGAAAGATAGAGATAGAAAAACAAGTTAATTATAAACTTCAGAAAGGAACAGACAGAGTTAGGATTAGAAACAGGGAACAAGAGGATGATAACATGACATTGAAGGTAACTGATAGGTTAACCAAAGAAATGTGATGATGGGTGTCAAATAAAGCATCAAAGTCCAGGAAGATATCTATTGAATTTGACAATATTTAATCAGTTTTTTAGATTTTTCAGTGGAATTCTGGAGGTTTATCCTTCAAAGCCTGTTCTAGTCTCCTTATTCAGTGATAACTTACTTCAGTCAGGCCAGCTCATGCTGATTTTCTCTTACATAGATGTCCTAAGGACCTCACCATGCAATAATATTATACAATTTTGCATTTTATCATAGTATTTTCAAATATTTTGGCTTTAGGTACAAAGATATCTCCAAAGGGATGCATAACTCTCTTTGCTCAACCCTTGTTCTGTTTTTTACAGAGACCTCATGAAGGGGATCTTGCTTAAAGCTTACTTAAAACCTTAGTTGTGAAGGGTTGAGAATGAACCAAAGTCTAAGACTGTTGACTTCTAAAGAACACTATTGATTTCCAATTCAGTGTTCTTTATTCTTGGCTATATGTCTATCTACATATCTTGGTTAAGTATTTAGATTTTAATAGTCTATATAAGAGCTACCATGTGTTGTATTGGGGTATTTATAAGGAAACTGTGTGTGTTTCTAGAAACTTACTCTTTTGCAACTGAGTTTTAAAAAATCCAGTAATTTAATTGGATAAATTATTCATGCTCATTACAGCGATACTATCAGGAATTCTAAGATGAACTCTGTAGTCTTTCCTTCCCTTAGACTCTAATTCCACCCCTGTAATGTTACTGTTGTTTGGAATTTAATGTGATTTCTTTCATCCCTTTTTCTTTTTTATGCACCTGTATAAAATCAAATATATCCTTATATGGTTGGGGATTAAAAACTGTTTTATTAAATTAGAATGGCATGTGAAGAAATGGGAACCCTTGCACACCATTGGTGGGAGTGTAAATTAGTACAGTCATTATGGAAAACTGCATGGAGGTTTCTCAAAAGACTAAAAATAGAATTACCATATGATCCAGCAATCCCACTTTCGGGTATTGACCCAAAAGATTTGAAATTGATATGTCAAGTAGATGTCTGCATTTCCATGCTCATGGTGGTATTATTCACAATAGCCAACTTGTAGAATCAACTTAGTTTCCATCAACTAATGAATAGATAAATAATATGTGGTAAATATACATGATGGAATACTATTCAACTTTAAAATAGAAGCAAATCCTGTCATTTGTAGCAACATGCATGAACCTGGAGAACATTATGCTAAGTGAAATAAACCAGGCACCGAAAAACAAATACCACATGTTCTTACTATGTGAACTCTGAAACAATCTCAAAGAAGCAGAGAATTGAATGATGGAAGCAGGGAGGAATGGGGATATGATAGGCAAAGGATAGAAAACCTCAATGAGAATGGAAGAATAAATTTATTTTCTTTACTTTGAGATATTTTGCACAGCATGGTTAATATACTAATAATAATGTGTTGTATATTTCAGAATCACTGAGTGAATTTCAAAATTTCTCACCACAAGAAAGATAAGTATTTGAAGCTAGATATGATACTTAGTTTAATTATTCCACAATGTATTCATAAATCACAGCATAATTTTGTATTTCATAAATATACACAACTATAATTTGTCAATTTATAATTAAAATATAAAATAAATTTAAACATTTAAAAATTTGGAATGACAAAA